AAGGTAGAAGTCGTTTATTAGCAAACACCAACTAAACAGCTACAAACAGTTATTAACTGAAACTTGAGGCGACCTTTGGGCAGAACATTCCACTGAAGAACATCATGTGAAAGGCATTCTGTTGAGTCTCTCGTTTATGCGGTCGCAATTTGAAAATGAGTCAGTTTGGCTAATTATTTCGGTCTCTTGATCATCGTTCCAACTGAAACATGAGGCGGCTTTCGTACAGCGCATTCAGTTGAGTAATAAAGAAGAAATGCTGCTGAGATTCACTTGGGCGTTTTGCTTGTACTAACGTAATTTGCGAACGTTTGTTCATATGCATAATACTGTTGCCTGAACGGTGGGAAATACCATTATCTGACGCGGCTCTTTGTTGTGAGCACGGCCTAGACAACCGATAAAGTTGTTTGATGGTTGAGTCGAGGTAAAGTCCAGCGGTAATCGACGCTCAATCGTCCTAAGTGTATTTTTAACCTTCACAAGTGGCTACTTTGACTGTAGAAACCAAATCTGATTCCTAAGTTGTTTGGCGATCTGGATTTGGTGCAAGGTTTTAATGCGCTTTTGAGTCACTTATACGCTGCGCTGGAATAGTTTTCGATGATCTGACTAGAGATTTTGTCGAAATGGAACGCGATCCTGTATCCCCGATTTCGATCTCATTGGTTGTAAAGTCTGCCATCATGTCACATCCTGTCAGTCACCGCATGTGTATCGCCGATGAAAGAACACCTCCATCTGATTGTGATATCGGTTAGTATGTTCCAATTGATTAGCTACTTTAATCCGTAAGGCTTTTTTCTGGTTGGAGTATCCTACGGCACGTGCCATTATGCCGTTTACACATATTTACCATGTGGTCACATGTTACCACCCCTTAAACCCAATTTGTACTGGTGTTGGTTGAGTGAATTTTCACGGCTGGCTCTGCTCATTCTAGGTTTATTCCCAACATAACCAAGTCATTGGAATGCATTCCTACTTTGCCACTCAACTATCGTTTGTGAAGTTCAACTTCACTTGACTTAACCAAGCACCAGATTCATTGGTACAGGACTCGAGAAGCGTGTTCCGGGGACCACTATAGATTCATCATATAAAGGTTCTGTCGGGACGTATATATCATGTGCACTTCGGGGCTTTATAAACTACCCTTACAGGTCGCGGGGAAAAGTATGCTTTCCACATGGAAGCTCAAAAGCAAGGCCTGAAGGACGGTCATCTGCATGACTGCCGCTTGTAACCTGCTTTTATAAGATCTTCATTTGCAGTCGACCGTTGTCCCTCACTAACGACTTCTAAATCAGGCGGCGATTTGTACCACTGTTCATGTGCCATTTCATCCGGCCAGTTTATCACTGAATTTAATTTAGGACCTACACGCAAGCCTGCCTGGTCCAACTTAGATGGGGCCACTGAGAGGAAAATACTTGAGATGAGCTGAACGTCAAAGGATTTGTGAGTGTTTGATCATTTGTCCATCACTTAATAAACCACCCACCTTGCACATTCACGTATCTTGGCAGCTGCATACGCTACAGTTATACGTAGCGGATAAAGAAGATGCGGGCAGTGTCCGTCAACTTGGACCAATTCCCTAAAGCCAAAGGGTCGTGTATAAAAGAGTGGTCTTAGTTTACGGTTGTCAGACCAAACCAGATCCGAAGACCTTGGGTGTCTTCAGACTTTGATCACCATTGTCTCTGTAACACAGAACCGAGTACGCAGTGGTGCGTAAGCCGGTACTTGGTATCCAACGGGAATATTTAGAGCAGCAGATCAAACTCACCAGGCTGAGATGGTTGGAGCATGTATTACGTAATTCAAATCACCGTCTACCCAAGGAAGCGCTGTTTTTGGTTCTGAATGATGGTTGATGGATGGTTCGTGTGGGGTAGACCATGATATGGTGACGTAAAGTCGACTACACTCAAGAGCATTTCTCTGAGTTCCTCGAGCTTTTCTGGCTGGGATCTATGTGATCCTGTTTGCGCATGGTTAGAAACCCTGCAGGCAACCGATCCAATTGATGCGAATGGTGTTTCTTCCTGACCGAACTGCCTAGGTGAAGTTCATCTGCCGCTGTGCGCTTGGTTTATATCGGGTGTTGTTCGCAAGGGACGCTGGATCAATCCCAATGATGTGTTTATGTTAATGCTATCCAAAAGTGCAGATACATTCTCGACCAATTCCTTAAGCACACTGGGCTTCGCTTCACCAAGTCTCCACCCTTCCCACCCCACTAAGGCCTCCATACCTCCTTTTTATGGCCGTTAAGCACCGATATATACTACTGCTGTATGGTTGCCTGTGATGACAACAACGACGAAAATTGTGGTGATTGGCTTGTGAACCTTTTCCACTGTCTACTTATGCGTTCTTTGATTACCAGGTCCCGAATTGGGATGCATTCATCATGAGAGAAAGCGTGTTTTGGTATGCAGTAGAATTGAGTGTTCGGGTCGCTACTCTTAATTTATCTATGCTTCTTGTTTGTGACCCTGAGTTAGAGCAGCCCTGTTTCTTCCTATTCCCATTTCTCTTATTGTGATCTGGAAACTGTTGACCCTTGAATTTTCGTTAAAATTTTGATCCTGCAGTTGCACTAAATATTTCATTTTCTGTTTTAAGGAAATCCTTCGGGGAACGTCGATAATATTTCTAACACATTTCCACCGTCCATAATCCAATTGACCAAGAAAAGCCCACTGTCACTGTGATATTTTACATCTTACGTTGGATTCTATCAGAATAACAGCTTTCGTAAATTCACACGTACCGCTGTCATGATTGCTACCTTCGTATCGATCAATTATACGCTCGTGAGCGTTTCTATGTGATGTGTGTCTCAATCATGTATCCTGGATATTCGTGCGTGGGTGCGCGCGGGTGCACATATTTGCGTGCAAATTTGTCGATTCCACTGGTAATGTCTGCTTTTCGCGAATACCATTACATGAAGTGTCCCTGACGTTATCCACGGAATGTGATTCTGACAGTATTGTGAGCACATCGGATCTTGGTTATGTAGATAGGGCATATCGTGTTGTATGTGCCGACGACCCGCTTTCCAGAGTTTCCATCAGGCCTTACATCACCAAGCTTCAAATGTCAGTGGCCTGTCCTAGTCGCATGTTAGAGTGAGCGTCACGTCTTATTCACTAACGCTGTGGTAGACTTGGAGTGCAATGCTTTTTCCAACTGATAGGTCTTACGGTGCTAGGATAAACAGCATTTTCAGCTGAATGCGGCTGAACCAGGCCACAAACACTGGTATTGGCCCTGTGCCGTTCTGCTGGAACCCACTTGCTTGCTACGGCATGGGTTTGAGGAGTTTGAAATGCGATTGACAGCGAATACAACGGTGGACACTCACCAATTACGAGATACTGGTTTTGTGGATAAGGCAACAAGTGGTGCTGGATATAACTCAGTGGCCAAAGGACTAGCGAGTTCTTGACGAGCCAGCATTATTTCGAGTTTCCGTTCTCGGTCGCTGCTGTCTGCTACAGGTCAGTCTGACCCCACCTCGGCATTCAGGATTTTTATGAAAGCTGTGCTCCGGAAGGAACGCCGCGGTTAATGGGTTATGGATCCCACAGTGAATCTTTCATCAAGCTGCTTGGTAGCGTTTGTGATTCCTGATGACCGATACTCATCTGCCTGAAATCACAACACTCAAATTTTGTATGTTCTTTGATCCGTGGGTAATACCTAGGTGACGTGCGATGTCGGAGTTGTATTCGGTTGTTGAGTGGCCAGCGTTCAAATTGCAGTCTCTCTTGGGCTCCATAAATTCTAGGTTTTGAGCTTGATGCTTTCCCCATGTTGTTATTAACCAGGTAAGGGGCGAGATGGCCTAAGTGGTTAGATCGCGAATTTACTGACCGGAAGGTCCGTGGTTAGAATCCGACCTCCGCCTCTCGACTTCCCCTGTCTAGGCTTGGGCAACCTGGCAGTATCCCAGCCATCGTGCTTCCTTCGGGTGGCATGGCAGTTAGGCACCGGAAGGGTTCTACAGCTGAACGCTTTCTTTTTCTCTTTACTGACCAGATACTTGAAATTTTTGGGTGAAGTCCACTTATTGAGTAGCAATGTTCGCCGTATTGCTAACAGTAGCTTTCCTCCGTGCCAGCATTGTTCAGTCGACGATATCTGATGACGGTTTTAGGTTTCTTTCTGTTCACTGGGACGTTAGGAACACGTAAATGATTTCCCAGCATTGATAGGATCGACTGGAATTTGGAGTTCATGCTGGTCATGTCGGGAGATCCCGCGGATACCTACATCTCATCGTTTGGAAATCGCATCACTGGCATTACCTGGTCCCTGGATGTTTGGCAGTATTTTAACCCTCGACTTCTTGCGTGACAGCTGCGCACTGAAGGGATAGTACGAGTGAATGTTGACTCTCGAGCTGTGTCTCTCGGAGACGCAGCTACTTTAGTCAATAACTGAGAGCTCTGATCCCGTTTGATACTTAGGTGAGTAAAGTATCTTGGGTTTGCTCTGTTAACAAGTTTCGATGCTCATTTAGATCACCGCTTCATCTGACATCAGCTGAGAGTTTTCCACAGATGAACTGTGTTAAATTCGTTTTCTCAATAGCTGCCAGACTCACAATGTCATGCACGTGTATCATGCCCCCTTCACCAACACACCACATATGTTACCATGTGGCGTTTGTGTGGCTTTAGTCGAAAAAATATCCAAGTATTTCTGTTTGCTACGATTTTACTTGTGAGGTCGATGAAACTCCTCGACAGCCCACGGCCGACTTTCACCCTTTTTGGAGCTTATCCAAGTCGGACATTTCATTCGCAAGATGGGATGGTTTCAACTGAGGTTACCTGGTGAGTCCTAAATGGGGGGAAAGCTGGTAATGAGATTCGGACCAGCTAATACTATATCATCATCCTATCTGTCTTATCGTTCAGCTGACCTTTTTTATGGAGTATATTTTCTTCTAAATCCGTTGTTCTCTCCTTCCCGTACAGAGCACAGCTGGTGTGGTTGGATGCTATCACCACGCAGCCACTGGAACTGTGCGTGCCCGGGCCGGATACAACAGTGGGAAAACTAACACTTTCTACACTGGACCGGATACGGTTAGTCAAGTCGTATGGTGAAAACCACTTATTTTATGTAAACGCAGGGTGCGATTTGATGATGCCTTGCATGATATCGCTGGAAAGAAACCTGACTCACACTGCTTTGTATAGGGTAGCCTGTCAAGAACACCATCCTGATTAAGCATAATCCTTCGCTTCTTTCTCCGCCTCGTTCTTCATAAGGATCCGGCAATACATGCGTTCTCAAGACACGAGCTGCTTCCGGCTAGTCGTATCCTGCTTGAAAACATTGGTGGATTTCACCTAAGCTGAAAGGTCATAACCACCAAGCAACTGTCAGAACAATCCTACCGTATAGCCGAGACACTTGATTTCCAATCCGAGTGTTTTGATCGTCGATCTGTTGGTACCACAGTTGATGAACGTGATGGGTGCAGATTATCCGTAAAGAAGTACTAGGTACCAGCTAATGAGTCGGTCAGAACGGCTGATAAAACCTATCAGGTTAAGTTGATCGGGACATTCTCTATTGATACCCAATTCAATGGAAGTCTACCTTAGGTTCAAGTTAGATAAAAGTTTACAAGACAAAAGACCATTACATGGCAACGTGAAATGAAATTGCTTACTGTTAAGTCGAGCACCATGACATCTACACCCCCTCCTGGTTTGTTCACGTGATTACTTAAGTAAAAAACATTGTAAAGCCGGGGGAGTTGCCTGGTCTCACTCGGTTGGTTATAATACCGCGGTAACTGAAGCAATAAAACGTAAGGCAAACAAATGCTGAAGGGAGCCGGTTAGTTGATCCACTCATTCACGTCACCGAGCAGTAACTACCAATCGACTCAGATTACTGGCATGGAAACGGTAACTAGGCCACAGAACGCCCAATATTAACAGTGAGTTGGATTAAGCTAAACAAGCCGACAGCGAGGTGATACAAACTCTTCAGAAATTTCAGGATGATCTGTTGTCACTATTCGATAACCTGTCTATAACTCACTGGCAGTCTTTCGCAGGACAGAACTTAACCCAGCAAATATGTGATAAATAAAAGCAAGATCGTGGATGCATAAGCTATGTAGTATGGTTTCTGTCTCGGTGATCCCAGAAAGATGTACACTGTCCACAATTACAAGCGGTACAAAGCAACGTATAAATTTTCATTTGTAATAATGCACTTAATTAGGACCAGAGGATGTTCGGGCTTCCGAGCAGGAACACAGCTATCGATCCCGCCTACACGCAGCAGTGAACGAATGTTCTTTGGCATTCGCCGAAAATAGTGTAGGCTAATTTGTTGTTTCCAAATAATTTGGCGTACCTGAGCTGATAGCGAGGAACGTAGTTGAAAACTTGGCACCGAAAATCTTCCTGTTTTCACTGAGACTAGCCGACTTCAACGTAGTAACAGTTGTTGCGGGGACGTCTGAAGTAGGTCAGCGTAGTGATGGAGTACTCTGACGAAGTGTGTCTCCCGTGTTCAGACATTTCGGAAATGTGAGACGTACTAGGTAAGCCAAACATGCCGTTTGATATGCATTCCAAACATCTGTCCGGTCAGTCATCGGATGAATCGTGGGTTAGCATTTTGACGACTCGGACTCGACGCCCCCTCTTCGGGAGCCAGTAATTTGTCCATCTCTTTCTTCGAAAACAAATGCGTGGAAAGAATCGATTTGATTCTGTTTGGGATCGTCACATTCCGTTGGTTGTCTCAGTTTGCTAGCTATTCAGATAAGCGAGACGTGGCACTATCGCCGTTGTTGTGATGCCTGTTTTTGTCTGAAGACCAGAGTTTACAATCTTTATGATTCCTAAATTCAATCCCTGTTAGCGACCGTTATTAACTTTCAGTAGTCAGCCTCAAAGTTCGATAAGTCGTCAGCTCTTTTCCAGTCACTAAGGGATTAAACGGGTTCAGGAAGATATGCCAATCATTTGGAAAGCCATAATGTGTTCAGAGCGAACAGAGGACAATGAAATGCACCGGGTTCATGAGCCAGGTCGTGTACCCAGGATCAGTTATGTCCAGTTTTGCAATGCATATCCCACGAAGTGCAGTGTTCCGCCAGCCAGTAGATTACCGTGTTGACAATATGAGGAAATGGGAGAATTTTCGGTGTAGATTTCGTGCTGTAAATGAAGCCAGTTGATGCTTTACAGCATAGATCGGCTGTGCGTACAAGACAAAATTCATATTAATAGAAGTTGCGAAGTGGGAACCAAAAACATTCTTAGCTGAACGTTACCCTGAATCATCACAACGTTGGGTTACACCGAAGTTCGCTGCGTCACATCACGGCACCACCAAAATAATGGATACTCAGCACACGGGCTGGTCGGTTATCCGATGGTCCAACAAGTAAAAAGAGAGGTTTATAAACCTTGGACCCATTTCTTATTTATACATCAACTCCCTTTCCATCTCATTCATATCAATAGGTACCAGCCTGAGGGAACTTGTCAACACCAGCCGTTCCAATGGCCACACAAGTGCACATGAATGCAGTGCATCTTTTCAGGTTTTCTGATTTTAGGTTTCACTATAACCGGCTACCATGACCAGTGTTCTTACCCATCCTCTTATTTTTGCAGACTACATACACAGGCCTAATTCCGTCCTTTCCCGCCCACGTTCCTAATGCTGCGCCTGTGGTACGAAAAATCAACTGTGCCAAACAGTTCGTTATGGTTTACAACGTATCGATCGGGGAATCGGGATGTCCTTTTAAAGGCTGGCACACAGTAGGGATTTAGGCCACGTGACAACGCGCTCGCTCGCTCGCGCACCATTCACTTGTCCGGCGAATTGATGGCCGCCTGCCACCACATTAGCTGCACACGCACTATCGATTGCATATCACTTAGATGTGTTCGTTCGGGTAGAAAGCGGGGGATAGTGCTGCAACCAGTTTTAATCCTCTATATTCAACAGCAACACCAACAACAACTGACGAGTGTCTTTCACGCCTGAGCTGATCTAACGAGAAGCGGTATTAGTAATAGGTCATAAACGACATTAATTTCCTTACAGTTCAACACTTATGGAAAAATTATGGTCTTCTTGATTGTATGGAGGTTGAAAATGTATAGTGTTTTTTGATACTTGCAGCTCAGCGTGTCGACTAGGCATTCGTGCTCGTTTACAGCTCACTTTCCGACTTTCAACAATCGAGTCATCCATTAGTAAACGATCGGTAGACATCGAATAATTGACCCACGCCTCATTTCGTATAGTGACTCATTCGGTCCGTCTAGTCCCAACGGCACTAGCGTATCATTCCCTTTTGGATGTGAATACCGCCGCTGTCGTTTGAATTCAACTTATCTAGGAGTGAGCTGACACATCACGCAGAGTTGGACTACAAGCTCCATGTTGTAACCAGTCTGATATTCTGGTCTCTCAATGATACTTTACTTGAATTTCCCCAAGATTCACTCTAGCGGTGTGGGTGTTTTCATCCGTACTACTGTCCTTAACAACCGTAGAAGTCCCCTTAAATTCGCTACACTGATTTGGTAGACAGATCAGCCATGAACTTATGAACTTCTGTTGGAGTACAAGAGTAAAAAACAATCAACTCAATCCTCTTTATGTATGCCACTCAATTCTCACACTTCAATATGCGTGCGACCATCTGTCCACAGCACAAAAAACTATGTTGCACCATAAAACTAATAGTATACTCAAATTTTCACTTTTTTGGGAGTAGAACCATACCAGCCTTTTTACGTCATTTCTACTGTCTTGCAGGAATTATTGATTTCGGAAGGCGACAATTTGGGTGGGACTTACAATCCCGCTGACAAGGTGCTCCAATGTCGTTTCCGACGCCGCGTGAGACCGCGCGATATGGTGCTCCAGTTAAAGGATTTGAGCGAACCTAATGCCTATTACCTGACAATCACGCGTGGGAATGATGTACTTCCGAGCGGGTTTTCTCGACCTTTCGCCGGGGGAGAAGCAACATATGACAGTAGCGTCTTAATCACTTCGTAAGTTGAGTGACTGCTTTCCTCCACCATTTGTCGGGCGTAGCACGATGAAAACCTTTCTTTCTCACTACTTGCAAGTAATGTAACTTCACTGAACTTATTGAATCGTCAGAATAGTTGCATCTAAACAAGGCGTACGGTCTTGACGTCATTCGCTGTTTCTGACGTGTTTTCATCCAGTTTTCTGGAACAACCTCGGAAAAGTCTTGATTCACCCTAGAATTGCTCCACGTAATATCGTAATCTAAAATGACTATCGATTACTCACAGAAAATTTGTCGTAATACTCCTCTAACTTAACGACCGTCCCAGTAGCGCGTCCCTTCGTAACATGAGTGTAGCTGTGCGCGGAATTTGAAAGTGCAAGTCCCCCCTTCCTAACCCAGCTGTTACGTGATCCCAGAGAAAGTAGGCTGTGTGTGGTAGAGAATATCGTGCAAGTGTACTGAGAATGAACCACAGAAACATTTTCTACGTGTATCAGCTTGCACCATAAGTTGAGACAAATCATTTATCGCATTTTTAATCCATAATTTCACAAAATAGCATCCACATCCAGGAAGCCACTACCCGTAAGACGTACCTACAATTCTCTACATGCTGAATACATTAGCAGCCATCAGATAATGATTGGTGCTCGCATCTCGAGAACAGAAACATTATCGGGAAGAAGGACGTCCAGGTTGAGTAGTAGAAACGGATCTCTTGTTTTTTCGTCCAGAATTATTGTTCTTCTAGATTAACGAGGTGTTGATAAGAGCGTTGGCTTCCGCACAACAGTTCACATATTTTATAGTTTTTATGTGGTCTTCAAAACTTGCGTTATCGGTTCATTGACCTTTCTTGGAGAGATAGTGCGTTCACTCCTAAGGGAGAAAAGTCACGGACTCACCATATGAGTCTGGGTTGCCTGTCCAAAGTTAGGAAATCCCATGAAAATGTAGCGAGAAATGTTCTTTTTGAATCCTGGGGATCAGTCTCATTTTAACAGACCCTAGAACTAAACGCTAACGATTGATTTGCAGTTTTATCGTCCCCTCTTGCGTCGACACGACTGACTGTCAGTTGGTTCATACGCACATCATTTCTTCACTGAAGCCGTTGTATTATTCTGCCATTTTGTATTGCCTTTAATTCTTTGATGCAACTCATCCAATACTACATTCTAGAATGAGAACTATTGGGTATTCCAGTTAGCTTCAAAATAAACAAAACTCACGACGGACCTTCAGGTTGTCCCTAGGTGCGACAGTCCCGAGGGCCTCGAACCATTGGTGTTCATGTCTCGATGGACATTAGTTCAGAATCACAGCAAATAAGAGTTCTGTGATAGATGAGCTTTGAGATTTAGCATTGCTTTCGCCTAGTATGAAACGAGCCTTATATGGTCATTTACTTGCTGGTGGATTCAATCATACCAATTGTAGTTTTTGTGTTTTTGTGATTAGGATTATGCACATCTTTCTTTGGAATAGCCCTTCTGTTGTAAAACTGGCAGGGATAGAGAATAGCCACTATACTACTAAGTCGTGCAGCCTAGTAGGACACATCGTTGCCTTTTGCACTGATCCGTCATGGAGCTCCATTATCCACCAGTGGACTACTTTGTCGGCGGCCAGTGTACTGCATGCTCAACAGAAGTGCTCCTGTCTGAAAATCCTAGATAGCTTTCGCACTGACTACCACCACCACCACTACGTGAACTCACTACACAGATGACCTAGTCTAGTCCAGGAGGCAAGAACGTGCGGTTTAGTTTAATCTTCGATTAATCTGTCTCACAGGCACACCACCGAAATATAATGCATATCAGCGTCAGCGCAATTCTGACCGACAGCGGAAGCAAAAAGCTAATGTTACTTGGTCATTGAGTTAATAAGGGGTATACCCACTCACTGTTGTAATTTCCAAGCTGTAGAGCTTTTCATACTATACAGAATTTATCTTTTCGGAGAAGTTTTGAAAACAATAGGCAAATTTATTCCTGGGAAATTTTCGCTTTTGACGTAAAAGCTTCGTCAGGCTAAGTGACTAGCTTACTAGGTTGGTCGAGATTTAAAGAGGAAGGAGCACCAATCAGCGGAATCAGGCTAAATCGGTGTTAGGTATCAGCCAAGGAATTTGTTTGCTCGGGCGGGTCAGGAAGCGTTTAGACCGATGAGGAACCTAAGTGGATCTGAGTCCAGCTTAGGGTCTAGTTCTTCCGGTTCACTTCACGTGAAGATTCCTCTTATCCGTTTATGTGAATGGACCAATGCTACGATAGTTGTGTAAGGGAGAGGGATTCTGTGAACTTTGGTTGGGTTGGGATTTCCATCCCCTTTTTTGCTAATGATTCTACGTGTATTGACAACTCCACACTACCGCGTGTCAACTCGGCCTATCGAAGACCACTCTACATGCCCTTGCCAGTTCCATATCCTCGGTCCTATTCATCCTGTGATGCTTAGTGATCTCCATTGCCTCGGCCATGAGCCACTGCGATGTGAATCACAGTCCTTGTCTTATCCTTGACTTATCCATTCTCCAGATCTATTCTATGTCCTGCGACTAAACATGTGCCGCCATCACTGGGTCTGACCGGTGCTTGGCACCAATCCGCATTCCTTGGTGGTTTATTTATCCCCCTCTTATGCTCGCCAATTTTGGTTGTAGTTCCCTTGCTTTTTCTCTTATGTAAACCTTAGTGCAATCGTTGCATTTAATTTTATACATAGTCTCTAGTCCGTTCAATTCAATTGCACCAAAACTGAACGTAACATTTTTCCCCTCTGGAAGGCTACTTGAATATTGGCTATGTTCAGCAGTCTCCGAACAACCTTGGATGTTCCTGCTTTATATGGAATGACTGCTGTGTTAATCCATTCCTTACCGGTTCTAGATACAGGAACTAATATCCTTCCTACTTGCCGCCTAATCAATTTATTGAAGCCTGTTGGCAATCTCGTTTTGAGCTGCTGTTCGGTCGACCTCTTCTGTGCACAGCACACACAATACGGGCGTACACGGACTTTGGGTTTGCTGATGAGTAGTTTGAAACGCTCCCCGTGTCTGTTGGTTTCTTATAGATAATAGGTTTTAATTCTCTACTACTCTATTATGTCATAAAGTCTCCAGAAACTTCCTGAAAGAACAAATACACTCGCCTACATTCCAATTAGGCTTTTATAGGAGACTTACCTGAAACGCACACGAGTAGTGTGGTTCGTCTTGAAAAAAGTTGATCATTTTCCAAATTGTGATTGGCGTTTAACAGTTCCGCCTGCCCATACGATTTCGCTTGATCCTCTGAATGTGTCCCAGATGGAGTTACTATTTTGGAACGGAGAAATTCCATTGTTCGGACATAGCTATGCGGCAGTGTACTGAAGCTATTTCTGCTCCTCATCCTCTTTGCGAAATGAAGGTATAATTTGTTGCAACACTTTGCGATTCCAGTAGTCCGTTTGATTCCTGATGGAAGCAGTCACTTATTTGGACAGGCTACCAATGACTGTTATTTCAAACTTAGCTTTTAGCGCACCAAAGCAAAACGTGACCATTCTCTGATAAACTGGCGGTTGACAGCCCTCATACCTATGTCCCTTTGCGTAAGAAGTGATTGGGCGCACGCCGTGCTTCTGTTTGTAAGGACAGCACACAATGGGGGCGATCGAAGATTGATATAGCTTTTGCGCTAGAGCACCTCTTCTGTTGCTCAGTCAGGCAAGAGTTGAGGATGGAGGTAACTGTCGAAGGAATAACGTGAGTTCAATAGTTAAACACTCATAGCAACTCACTCATGTTCGCACCATTTGATGGCATAACTGTTATTCAAGCCGTAGAAAACACGAAGCCTGAAACACCTAGGTATGATGTCGAGCCCATACGTGTACCACAGCCCTGATCAAGACTCATTCTAGCCTATGTAACTGCCAGAATTAACTTTGAGGTTGATGAAAGTCCTTGGTTAGCCTATCACAATTTTCCCGCTTTTTGGGGCTCATCAGGTAGCTGTTGCAAGTTCAGCTTACCTATATACGCCCTTTGTACAGTTGTGCTATTCTTAATGTTTCATTCACAAGCTCGCTATAAAACCGTTTAAAACTGTCCTACAGACACATTAGCCGATGTCCGATTGTCTTTTTGTATTCGTAATTTTAACCATCGAATATTCGTAATTATCTTTCACCTCTCGCACAATGTGTAATGTTGTCTATTGTAGCCCGATCTACGGAAGCATGACTGTTATCTCGGAGCAAGGTTCGGCTCTGATGAAGACCCACGGCTGTCTTATGGTGCTTGCCTGGGTACTGTGTGCCAGCATCGGCGTCATTCTAGCTCGCTACTACAAAGAACTTTGGCCGAATTCGGGTCTGCTTGGCGAGAGAGTGTGGTTCCAGTCTCACCGAATTCTACAGTTTTCTTGTGTCATTCTTACATGCATCGCTATCATCCTGGCTTTTATCTATTGCGAAGGTTACTCCCGTGTGTCTACGTTCCCTCATTACGTGCATCCGATTCTTGGACTGATCGTATTCTGCCTTGCTCTCCTGAACGTGAGTTTGATTCATTGTTTCACGTGTGTATTCTCCATATATAGCCCCTCCCCGCTTATGGGAATGGTCCCGGTGAACTTGGTTGAGGTGATAAAAACCGTACTTCAACATCAGCCTTTTACGTAACTCAATAGTCCACTTTCTATTGTTAGATATGGAATCAATTCATCACAAGGACCACTCTTCTGAAAAAGCACCGTGGAATCGCCTTGGGTCAAAACTAGTGTGTAATTTGTTGTTGAGTCTTTCAAACATCATAGTTGTGCTCCGTCCGCAGACGAAGTCACATTGTATCAGAGAGTACTTTTGAGTCATCCCTTGATGATTTGGTAGAGTGGGAGGGGCTACCTCAAAGCTTGGGTGAGGATTTACTTTTTGAAACATTCTGTTGTTGATTGCAACTCCAATTTCGCCCACTGTGGTATGTCATGAGGTACGTTAGCGTGAGACTGACTCTAATCGACGTGAGTGAAAATTATCAGAACTGTGTTTATAGGGATATATTCGGATTTTCAACCGGGTCAAGCTAGAGTCATTGTGATGGGACGAGGAGACCGAGCTAAAATACTCTATTCTGATCAATAAGAGCACATCTCCCTCTGGTCCCCAACCGGTTCACGACACATCCGTCCAATCAACGCAATGTTCGGTTGTTTCGATCGAATCGCCCATGGACAATTCCTCTTTGGAAAGTTATGAGACTAATGATCCATATCACTTACTTGACATGCCTCTAGATGTCTGTTCTTCTGAAGGGTGCTCGTTACAAGAGCAGTCCATATTTCTTGGGTTATGCAAAGCAATGCTTGCTTTGTGTTTCAGTATGCCTGCGTGTTTGATGTCTGAGGCATCGGGATGCATCCGGCCGTTTGATGCACTGAGTGCTTTATTCCAACCAATGCCACCCAAATTTACTTGATATCCTGTCCTCTTTGATGTTGGTTGAATTTCACGTGTTTTTTGATACATTGCACGATACTGACGCTAAACCTGTAATACCGCGCCATTATCATCTTGGTCAATTACCGATAGGGATGCTGTAACCGTTCCATTTTAGAAAAAGTTGGAACATTTAAATACCGTATTTCAAATGAGGCTTACGCAGCAGGACTTTCAAGAAGGGTTTTCAAGCGGAGTAGCGCGACGTGATTTTTCTGTTTTCTTATGTGCATTTTCTGTTGGTTCCCTCTCAGGAGAGACTAGCGTTCACTTTCGGTAAGTACGTTCTGGTGGTCTCTCCAGGGGGGGGGGGCGAGATAGCCCAAGTGGTTAGAGCGCGAATTTACTGACCGGAAGGTTCGTGGTTCGAATCCGACCTCCGCCACTTGACTTTCCCTGTCTAGGCTTGGGCAACCTGGCAGTATCCTAGCCCTCGTGCTTCTTTCGGGTGGCATGGCAGCTAGGCACCGGAAGGGTGCTACAGCTGAACGCTTTCTTTCTTTTCTCTAGAGGGGAACACGTTTTGAACACGTTTATAAGCACTTAAGGGCGAATTTGAAATGTATGATCACAATTTCACTAACTGTCTGCGAACTCCAACTCTGCACGCATACCGTCCTACTTGGTCCGACCAAACCAAAGGACGACCAGAACCACTGGCGTCATGTCCGTAGTCCGCCGTTGGAACACCGAAGTAATCTGAACCAGACACCGTCATCCATCCGTGCACAAACGAACGCTCGCGGAACTCCCGTAGCCTAATCATATTGTTGCTGATTATACGGAGTGTTTGGTAACCTCTTCCCACACAGTCTCGTTCTGGTATCTCGGCCTGATTGTAGCGCGCTTTGACGTTGGGCCGTTGCTTATGATTCTATATCAAAACACTTTCATATGCATTCTTATCAATTATCAGGCCTTAACATCCTGCATACCAAAGGGTAACTTTTGTTCCTGCTGTGGTAAACCAAGTGAGCATTTCTTCGTTCGAAGACATTTGTTAGACGATAGCAATGAGGAACCTTATACGAAACAGATGAAACGACATGCTTTTATAGTGCGCTTGTAACGCAAGCCGAAATATACTGAAAATAGGGGCTCAAATGGCGCATCCTGAGACTTGCTGAATGGTCTCTTAAAAGCTTCCAATTAGAAGCTTAATTCCACGAGTTCGTATTTAGTTGTTTTCTTTTTTGAATAGATGATCTACCACACGTGTGGTTGCTTCCTACAACACTATTTGTTCGTAGTGCAAACGGAATCAGGTTGCTTTCTCTTGTCTTCATCTGGTCATAAATCGGGTTTTCAATTCAGGACATTCTAAATTCCATGCCCTCAACCAGGCTGGGGTTTTTCCACGGTTGGGTAGCGTAGTTGTCAACCAGAACCCATGCACAACCACCAACCAAAGCGCCACTACGTTCCCTAACAACGCAGCGGTGAAGTCACCTCGATTGGCGATGAAGTGTTCGAAATCAAATTGCTCAGCTCAGCGAACAAGCCAGCAACAATGCTGAAGGTGTTCGGAGGTCGTAACCCTAAATTTTCTTTTACTTCCTATGGGATTTCTGACCATAGCTTGTTTGGCACATTTATTACACTCTTGTGAGAAGAGTGACGATCAGAAAGCAAGGATGCTTATTTCCTGCAGTCCTTATCATGTGAGGCGGCGCTGCAAGTGCAAGATGACCAACATCTTTTGTAGGCAGTTTGTTTTGAAAAACACCTCAATACGTTTTTGTTTTTATGTCATTCGGGCTCTTGAAGATGTACAACCCTTGATGATAGTCACGACCAGCTTCCTGTCACCATAGTTGTCACATTTGAAGACTTTATCAATAGGCACCAAGCGATCCACACATAACACCCGCTTTAACTCCCAAATTCAGCCATTGATCACATTTTGCCGATGCAAAGTTGACCATCCTGATCGTCCCTGGTTCAACTGGATTCACTTCTTCATCGGGACATTCGCACACGTCTTGTCCGTGCCGACAATGATGTTGGGATTGAGGATGCCGGCAGCCGGTTTCCAGCTACAATTTCTCAATTATCCATTGTGGATTCTCATATTCTTTGTCATCTTCCAATTTTGCATCGAATTGATCCTGGAGATCCACGGATGTATGTACTATAATCGTAACAAAAGTGAGTTGCTTTTTTGGAGGAACTGCTCATCAGTTTGCTGAAAGCTCTCATGCTTTTATTGAGATATTTTAAATTTGCCACGGTTACCAACTCGGATTCATAGTTGTTTGTTATTTGACTTCTAATCTACTCGCACATTGTATCTGAATGAAGTACATTATTTCGAAAGTTCAAAATAGCAACCCATTTTTAAGAAGGGTTAGTTCATATGCACTCATTTGCAAACTAATTTGTTTTTTTCGAGAGGCTCACCTGAAACCCAGCTGAATCTCTCGTTTGTGATGTTTTCAGGCAACTGAATATGCTGCACCAGGCCGCTACGATATTCGAGATGTCGCGATACATATATATCTTTGTAACGTACTACTCATAAGGTTGCTGAAAATCCTTCGACAACCTACGACCGGTTTCGCCCTTGGGGCTCATCAGGTAGGCGCGGTCCCCGGGTTTCCGTCAACCTTATGTTCTACTTGAAACCAAATTCAGCAACCTTATGAGTAGTACGTTACTAGGGTTAGTTCACTTGTACCTTGCGACAGATGAATGTCATGGCTTATTTCGAGCATTCCAGTGAGTACGTTTCCCGGGAATTGACCAAATATATGTGTAATTCCAGTGCCCGACCACCTTGACGTGGTGGTCGGGCTCGAGTGCTTCAGCGATTCCGCGGGCTACACTGGCTGGAACTTCGTTCCACAAGGTGCAACCATGCCAGGAAGGCCAAAGGGCCAAGAGCAGCGAGACCCCGTACTACGAGTAATCGTGCTACGAGGCGGTCTGGGGTTAAAGTCGTACTGTCCTCTGCGACAGGAGTGTGAAGGCAGTAAGGTGGTTCCCCCAGGCGACCAGCATGTCCATATTTATGGAAGCAGCGATGCTGCCTTCCCCCGAGGAAGGACGGGTTAGAAAAGGTCGGCCCCAAAAACCGCACAC